TTCCAAGTTGCTATGTTTGTGCTAATTATTAACATTTCTGCTGAATTACAATACTTCTGCTGTGTTGAACCATTTCTGCCAAGTTGTTACGTTTGTGCTAAGTTGTTGTGCGTGAGCGAAACGATTACAAGTTTAGCTACTTTTCAAATGCTGACTTCAGCTTCTTCAGCTGTTTTCAGCAGACAGCTGCAGCCTTACAGCGTTCACGCAGCATTTTCGCAGGAAATGCACATTTCTCTAGTTAAGATATTTGATTTAACTTTTGTCTATTTACACTTTGACAGTTTCATTACTCTGTGTGTGTGTGTGTGTGTGTGTGTGTGTGTGGAGAAGGGGGGTATTACAAGCGTCAAGTGGAACAGGATATGACGCCATCTTCTCCGTGCACACAGCTGATCGGAGACAGAAACAATAACGGTCACACTCGTCATTACTGGCGATTTGTAACCCAGAGAATGTGAAGCACGGTGTTAGCATCCAGGCTCATACGGGGCTGACTGTCAGCGGAAGCTGCTGCAGTGGCGACGAAGAGCTAAGGACGCGTAGTTTTACAGCAGAGGCCTACCTGCGATGCTAAGCTAAGTGCTGAGCTGTCACCGCTAGCACGGCAAACAGTTGGAGGAACAAGTGAGGGGTCTTCCCAGCTGTAATTAGAGACGTTTGTGTGCCCGCGGCTGCTGCAGATGTGTGTGTGAGCCTGTCTGCTGATCGCAGCCTCTCGCAGACCTTCTCTTGGCGCTTTCGCTCAGCCGTAAGATGTGGTTGAAACTGTTCTTCTTGCTCTTATATTTCATAGTGTTGTTTACGTTGGCGAGGATTTTTGAGGCGGTAGTTTGGTATGAGACTGGTATGTTCGCTACGCAGCTCGTGGATCCGGTTACTCTCAGTTACAAGAAGTTAAAGACCATCCTGGAGTGTCGAGGGCTGGGATACTCCGGGCTGGTCGAGAAGAAGGATGTGAGCGAGCTGGTAGAGAAATCAGGTAAAGCCAGAGGCATCACACAGCCTTCATCATTAGTGGGTTCATGAGCTGCTGTCTTATTTATCTGAGCACCGCTAAAGTCTGAAAGCATAAACGTTTCTCAGTTGAATCTCCAAAAATGTCTGCTTTGTTATTTTCTGTGTGTGTGTGTGTGTGTGTGTTTCTCAAGTTCAGGACTTTGAAACTGCAAAGAAGCGAACGGTTCTGATAGAGAGGGCAGGGCTCGCCATGAAGGGTCCTCACAAGGGTACGGCACCATCAAACGATTGCTTCTCCACAACATGGAAGCTTTTCTCAGGCATTGTAATAACCAAGCTGGGTAGGCAGACGAGTCAATACATTAAAACGGCTCTGAAAGACGTTGTAAATGGCACCACAGGCCAAAGCATCAGCTCAGGGTTGATAAACAGGGGCTCTTAAGACAGGGTCAACCAGCCTGAGCACTGTCTGGATGACTACACGAATCTAATGCCCCACACATGGATACTCCAGAGCCTGGCATTAAACAAGGGTGATAATGTGCTAAAAACATTGATGAGGAAGTCAGGGGGACTGTGGAAGACAACACTGAAGGCCAACTCCAAGACAACCCCAAACATTACCATCAGCTGTGAAATATACCAGCGTGATGCATTGTCCCCACTCCTGTTCTGCATAAGCCTCAACCATTCAGTCAGCTCAGGGTGGACACAGATTCAGCTGCTGAGTGACCATCAGCCACCTCCACTACATGGATGGCATCAGTGTGTATGCCAGGAGCGAGATATCGACTCACCGGTCAGCCTCACCAGGATCTACAGCCAGGATACCGGGATGCCATTCAAACTGGATAAGTGTGGCCAACTGTTTGCAAAGAGAGGGAAAGTCATCCAGACTGAAGAGATGGAGTTGCACCAAGGCAGAATAGCATAGAAGACCGCTACCAGGGCCTGAGTATCCCATGGGCCAATGAGAACCATGAAGAAGATGCACAAAGGTCAACCATAGTCAAATACGTCACGTAGATGGGACAGGTGCTGAAAGGCATAAGATTCAGCTCATCAGTACATGTTCCCTATCAGCCATCAGATACCCTGCTGGGATAACAAGCTGCCCGCAGGAGGAGGTGAATGCCAGCGATGCCACTGAAACGCCTC